GTTGTAGATTAAAGCAGATATTAGGTTTAAATGCTGTTAAAAATTTTTTTGTAGGCCTGTGTTATCATTTAAAAGACACTTGTTTTGCGCCACTTATTTAACTAAACCACTTTCAGGGTTTTAACTGATTACTATCAGAATTGATTCGGTCAACTCCTTAACACCGTCTAATTGAATAACGCCAGTATAACTTTTCTTCTGGCTTATTCAAGAATTACACACACAACTTTGAACTGAAATCCGGCGAGTAATTTATAAATCTGATTTACTCAGGGCGGAGTATGAGACTTTACTTCTTTCTTATTAATGCCGATGTTAGTCTTTTTCGCGTCTGATTGCTTCGGAGCCCGATGTGTGACTTTTCTGGTCTGGTCTCCTCTGAGTCTGGTGTTGGACCATTTTGCGCCTAGTTTCTACGGAGCCCGGTGTGCGATTGACTTCGACAACTGATTTCTACTCGGACCTTCAAATCCTTGTTTCCTCAGCGTCTCTGCCCTGTCACACCCTTAAATTTTAGTGATTGGTTATATTTGAAAAATAGGAGTATCTTAATTAGATATTCCTCCACTCCGTTTGAAGCTTACAAGGGTTTAAGGTTTTCTGACTCCAACGTATTTCTGTCAGAATATTGACAAATGTTAAGCGTCGCTTGGTTCCTAAAAACTTCACTCTTTTAAATCATGGCATGTATAAAATGTCAAGTAAAGAATTCACAAAAGATTTCTTTAGCTATTCTTTACGTAACGTTCCCCTAATAAATCTTCAATAGGTATCTCCCTGTTTCTGCTGTAAGCGTGGGAAGGCGCTAACTCTAAAATACAAGAATGGACTCTTAAATACAAGAATGGACCTATGTCTCACTACCTTGTTCCTGTCCTTACATTCGAACAATTAAATTTCAAATTAATAACATTAATCATCTTTACATAGGCAGTACTTCAATGGAACGGTTACAGTAGCGAAATGTCCAGACCTTCATGATGGTGATGCAGGTGGTAAGTATGCACTCACTGCCTGACAGATATGCCACTTGGTGATACAAGCCAATCACATTTCCTCACAACAGTAGGTACTTTATCACTTCCTTTAGATCGTCGTGACTCCTAAGTACTGTAGCATTTAGCGCGTTTAAGAATACTTTGCGAGATGCGTAGATTCAAGTTGCGTATTTCTGTACTTTTTTTATTGCTAGTGGGGTGGGACTAAGTCCCTTGTACTGCGGCTACTTCTGGCCTCTTGTACGGGCCCCAGATGATAAGTGAGGGTGATTGTGGAGCAATTGGTGGAATGAAGATTGGCAGGGGAAACCGAAGTACTCGGAGAAAACCTGCCCCAGCGCCACTTTGTCCACCACAAATCACATTGACCAGATCCGGGATCGAACTCGGGCCGCCACGGTGGGAAGCTAGGGCTTCTTTACTTTTCGACACTCTCTGTATCTCAGACTAAAAAACATAAAACGTTAAGATCATTATTAATTAAAAATTGAAAGAACCGATAGTGGTCCAATATCTGGAGGTACTAAAGAAACCCGTGAGAAATGTCAGGCAGGACAGCCGGCCTCCAGGCCCAGAGTATAACTTGCCAACTTCCAAATACAAAGCAACTCTGCACCTCAACCACGATATTCGGCTTTACGGGAAATGTGCAGCATGGTAAGTGAAACTGAATTCTTTGTGACATTCTCAGTGCTTGGTAAAACAGAAAACTGATTCGTTTTTTATATACTGAGTAACTGAGTAACGAAGGCGCATGAAAATGGAGGTACAGCTCCACAAATTTCCAATCTCGGCATTATTTTTTTATTGCTAGTGGAATGGAACTAAGTCCCTTGTACTGCGGCCATTTCTGGCCTTTTGTACCAGCCCCAGATGATAGGTGAGGGTGATTGTGGAGCAATTGGTGGAATGAAGATTGGCAGGGGAAACCGAAGTACTCGGAGAAAACCTGCACCAGCGCCACTTTGTCTACCACAAATCCCACTTGACCAGACCCGGGATCGAACCTGGGCCGCCGCGGTGGGAAACAGCGACTAACCGCTTGAGCTATGGCGCGACCACAATCTCGGCACTAACTAGAGGTGACTTCAGTTCACGCTCGGCCGCTTCTCCCAAGGGAAAAGGCCTCCTCTACCTACAGCATAGGAAAGATTGTGTGTTCCCAGTCGGAAAAGGATAAAGACGGAAGAATTCGGGGACAGTCGAATATTTACTGACCCCGGATCCTCTTTTCTAACTCAGAATGTCATCGTGCCACCTTCTTAGATGGGAGAATACTTCGTAATGTGGATACAATCTGTGTACATGTTAACTTGATTGAACTGCATTATGAAGGTGCCCCATCGCGTAATTTGTTAGATAACTGTGTGGACGTTGAGTTCATTTACTATATGATCAAGTCGAGAAGGATAAGGTGAGCAGGGCATGTACCACGAATGGGTAAGAGGAATGCATATAGGATATTGGTGGGAAGGCCAGAATGAAACAGACCACTAGGAAGACCAAGGCGCAGGTGGGTGGACAACATTAAAATGGATCTTAGAAATATAGGATGGGATGATATGGATTAGATTGATCTGGCTCAGGATAGGGACTAGTGGAGGGCTCTTGTCAGCACCCAATATATAGAAGAGTCAGGAGCCCGAGATCCGGTTTGGACGCTGTGAAAAGGAGAAAACCCTTGCTCCAGCGGGGAAACGAATTTCGGCCTCTCAGCCCGTTTCTTCACGGCTGTTCCGTGAGATCCCTTGTGACATGAAAATATTGCCCCCAAAACTGACGGGCTGGTACCGTCTGTGACTCCTAATAAGATATAACAGGGCGGGTCACTGCGCTCGGATTCTCTCTCTGCCGAGACACTGTTTATCCTTGTTGAGGCATTGTGTGGTTTATTTCGGACCCTCAGGCAAAATTCCGGGATAATACCTCGATGAAGTCATGCTTGCCTCCTCCAAATCCTGATTTATAAACCGCCATATATTTCGACGCTATTTATTGTTGTAAAATCGCCGCCACAGCAGCGTGTCTTAAAATGTGGGGTTTGGATTTGTGAACGAATTTATAGACCACCTATGCATACGACTCGGAACTTCAACACTATCACTGATCTGCACAGTTCACAAATCACTAAAACACACGCTATGCCTTTTTCAGCCTGCTTTTTCTTCACCAGCCGTTCCCTGACAAAGGATTTTAACGCTGGCGATTCTTCAGCTTCACGTGCTCAAGTCCTCTCTTCACAGCCTCCCTTCCAGAACTCAGTTGTCAATTGAACGCAGTGCTCCAACTGTCCTGGTTTGAACTTCTCGGCACGGACCACAGAGAAAACACCATTCTCGTATGCTAAACTTTTCCGCGGAAATGTGTTCGCGTCACCCAACAACATATTATGTAAGGTGAAACTGTGTGCACTGTAAGACGGTTAGCATGAATACACATCATGGACATGAATCAGTGCAACAGGACGCTAAAATATAACACTATGCAACCTCGTTTATTAAGAATCTGCTGCCCTACTAAGAGGGGTTGTTTCACTACCGTTACACAGCAACGGGTCTACACGCTATAATGTCATTATAAAAATATAAGGAAAAAATATTTTAGGTGTAATGACTTGATGAAGGTGAATTCTCTGCCAAACTTTAAAAGTAAGCGAGGTGTCAGAAGCGACAACCTCAAATTTTCCCCATGATATAATGTAGGAAAGCGAGCGTCACAGAACTTGTGGTCATGTCCAAGCAAATGCACTGCTTGGTATCTGCTAGTCAATAATGACGCAGGTTATTACAGCAATTTAGTCGCGTCCCACACCTATACAAAAGCCTCCTCCCACCCGCAGTACCGACCTCACTTTCACATACGAGGCTCCGATAATCTCCTTATATAATATTTAATTTGGTGAGTGTGGGAAATTCCATTAATTCCGGCTCATCCAATAATATTTACGTATATATTCTGAAAATGTTTCTACTTAAAAAATCAATTACACGTATTCTAAAGTTCAGTGTTCTAAATTTAAGTGCAATCTTAAAGTGTTATTTAACACGTTAGGAAGTGCATGTAGACAGCAGGCCCACAATTGAAAGCACAGTATTACCTATGAGACTCCTCAAGGAATGTGGAAGTATTCTTTTTTTATATTATGACATACCTTGCATTGACGTAAACATTTCGAGATAAGAATTTCCCACGCGGATAAGTTGAGGCTAACAGGCGACATTGTAGACAGGCACAGGAATATTAGAAATTCCTCCCAAGAAAATATTTGTTTGATGTTGACATATGTCCAGCAGTGGCCAACGGTCAAACCCTCCACTCCGCCGGTTTACGACTCTTTCCAGGAAACCGATGGCTGAAATTACTCCACCAAACGAAATTTTGTAACAAACCGCACTGTGCTCATTCTTGGAGCAAAGAATCCATTTAGATAAGGAGGGGTAGGTCTGTATTCACAGAATCAAATGCAAATAACTAGTTTGTAGGTGTCATACCAACACTGCATCATATGATTTCATGAAGCGTACCTCACCGTCCGTCTTTACCCTTAGGCTTACATTCAGAGAGAAGAAGGGAGAAATGCGCCAAGGTCATCTCTGATTTAACAGTTGTTTTCAAATGCCCACAAGGTGTGTGTGGATAGCCAACTACAAGTTACAGAACACAGATAAATGCATCAGCGTCTGCCAAGCCCCTACGCTCAAAACCCAATACAGGACTGAGAAGGAGGAGGAAAAATAACACCACTTGGTGTAAGAAGAGCGAGAGGTTCACAAGTAAAAAAGTAAATGTAGTAACAATACGACAGAACCTAAACTCTATGTTAACAAACACAAACAGAAATAGACAACTGTAACTCAAACTAAGAACTCTGAGTAGGCACATAGCAACGGTCAGGATAACGGAGAGTTACTAAATAGTAAATCACCTTCAAAATAAACAGTCAAATTTGGTGTTGGTGTGGCGTAGTGGGGACAACAACTTAACGTACCTTTTATGTACACATATACTTCTGTCTGAAACCAACTTCATTTTTTATTTACTGCTCCTCTTTGCTACATGTTTCGACCGTACCCACCCATCATCAGGAAAATGTTTATCTTGCTAAACGCTTTAGGCTCTTATTTCCCACTGTATTTACAATTAATTAGTTCCAAATAAAATATGTCAGTGTCGTTCCATTTATCGTCTTCCATTCATAAGAGATAAATCGTTGTCTGATGATGGCCGGCTGCGGCCGAAACATTTAGCAAAGAGAAATAAATGAAAAATAATGTTGCATTGAGATAGACGTGTATGTGATGTAAAGTTAATGTAACAGGATGCTGAAATACAATATTACAAAACTAACGCACACTGACGTCGTTTAAAAACTCTATACGCGTCAAATCTTAAATCGCGCAAGCGCACAGCGGAAATCTAGCAGCTTTCCTTACCCCTCGATTCTATCTGCTCGCTTGGCTTGCTCTTACGGCCTGAAGATGGATGCACTACGTTCCTCCGAATCGCCACGAAAATTGTACCGGACTGCATGGCGTAACATCCCAGAAGATAGTCCCCATCATTTCCGTCACAGGGAGAACATCAAACCCAAAATAATACTACGACATTTATAGGCTTCCTACCCGGGCGGCCCGGGTTTGATACCGGGTCTGGTCAAGTGGGATTTGTGGTGGACAAAGTGACGCTGGGGCAGGTTTTCTCCGAGTACTTCGGTTGCCCCTGCCAATCTTCAGTCCTCTAATTGCTCCACAATCACCCTCACCTATCATCTGGGGCTGGTACGATAGGCCAGAAGTGGCCGCAGTACAAGGGACTTAGTCCCACCCCACTAATAAAAAAACAGACATTTCTATATAAACCCTAAGGGAAACACACAGAATATGAGGATACTGGACGATCAAAAAGGGTACTTTATACACGAAAGAGCTTGTCTAAACTTCTCAGTTTCATATATTATAAGAGGATGTATAGAATTCGTGTATCTGAGGAAATCCTTTCATTACACTAGTTTACGAACTATTCTAATTCGAACTTATAGCGGGAAGAGTCAGTAAATATGTCACAAATGGAAGTAAAACAGCTGTAATGGACGTAATGGGTTTTCTATATGTACACGCATCTCTAGGTAGCAGTATAGTCCAGCTTCATGAAAGTCTACGTAGCAGACGGGCGTGTGCATGTTCAGAGGCTTATTTCAGTAGTCAAAATGACGACCGAAAACTAGCGTTCTGTTGTGCTATTTGTGGTTGAAAGTACTCAATGCAAAGGATATTCATAAAGAAATATTTCCCGATTGCACTGTGAAGTGTCTGTCAAATAAAGCGGTTCACAGCTGGATCGAGAAATTCTCTAAAAGACATTCGTAAGTCGCAGATGATGCCCAAACATGTGAGGAAGTGGCTGAGACAATAGTCAAAAGACGTCAATGCTGCGGGTTTCAAAGCGCT